GTCAAACCTCCTCAAATAAGGGTAAATCCACAGATACTGAATCACACTCCTAACAGGAAATAGTGGGATTCACATGGATCATCTCCTTCCCCCTGCCACGGGCAGGGACACCTTCCACTATTCCAGGTTGCTCCAAGCCCTGTCCAACATGACCTTGGACACTTTCAGGGATGGAAGAAATTTAATCTGAAAAGAAAGCCTGGATTTCATGCATGTTCATCCCCTGTGAGGAAGGGGTGGGTGTTTGAAGACAAAAAAAAAGGAAGGACGTTTTTGTTTAGAGTGGAAATCTACCTCCTTAACCACAGCCAATGATCAACCTCAGCACCACCATCAAGTGCTCTTAACAAGTGACTAATCTGTCTGACACATCAAATTACAGCTGTGATTAAGCCCCTCTGATCAATACAAGTGATAATGGCTCCTAAACAAAGCTTTCTTTCCAGAATGTACTGAGACACTGTGTTTGTTTCCACTCACTTGATTAGAAAGGGTAAAGAAGCGCTCGTTAAACCGCAAGTGATTCTCCTTCTCCTGAAAAGGCCTGGGAAGTGCACAAGGTAACAAAACTCCCTGGACATAAATCAAAGTTGTACTCTGCAGATCACAGGATCACCAAACCCTAACTGGAGCCTCAATTGCTTTCCATCCTCCTGTTCTAGGGGATTGAACTGGGTTAAAATGATGTTTTTCCTCAGAGTTTTACTAGGATTTCTCTTTCCAGCAACACTCAGATGAAAGAGTCATCACCTTCATATGACCTCGTATCATCACCTTCATGAGATTTCTCTCCAGCAAACTTCCCCCTCACCCCCAACCGTCAAAGTTCAAAGTTTGATTTTACAGCTCAGCATTTATTGAGTTATGGAGCCCTGCTCCAGCAAAAACACCTTGTTTGACCTACTTGTGCTCACATGCTCAGATCACTCTGAAGGGGAAACACATCCTGTGTAGGCACTCAGAAATTACCTGTGCACACAGCACAGAACTCCATACAGTCATCCACAGCCACCCATTTAAGAGCCAACAATTCTGCATTTTCCTGTTGCCTCCTGGGCAGTTGTGTCTGGGAAATAAAGTCAGGTATTGAGCTCCTAAATACCTGCTGATGTTTTGGGGTAAATGGATGCCAACTTCTTTCCATGAAGGAAGGGACCTTAAAATCATCTTCCAACCCCCTTCCATGGGCAGGGACACCTTCCACTATCCCAGGCTGCTCCAAGCCCTGTCCAGCCTGGCCTTGGTCACTTCCAGGGATCCAGGGCAGCCACAGCTGCTCTGGACACCCTGTGCCAGGGCCTGCCCACCCTCTCAGGGAAGAATTTTTTCCTAATACCCAATCTAAACCTGCTCTCTTCCAGTTTGAAGCCATTCCCCCTTGTCTTGCCACTCCAGTTTCAGTATGTCCTCCATGGACAAAACCATTTTCCTGTGCTCAAAACTGCAATTTCTGAATCGCTCCAGTTCATCATTAGTGACTAGTGGAAATGCAGATTTATCCCAGCCCAATATTTCAGCATTCCATCTGGGAAAAAACCCTCCAAAGTATTTCTGTGTACTTGCTTTGGGCACTAATGACTTGCAACATGGTTGTGTGTCTTTACTTCAGAATTGGGAAAATATTTGCATTGGTTTAGTTCTGCTGTTACAGAAAAAAAAAACCCAAAAACGAACAAAAAAAACTGTTTTGGATTAAACTTTCCAATGAGAAAAAGCATTCTGGAGAAGCTGAAAAAAATATTATCACTTCAACTATTTATTCTTCTCCTTTTAATGTACTGTATTTAATTGAATTTCTTTAAATATCCATGAAAACTAAATGAAACATTTAGCTGGCTTTCAGATGAAGCTTTTTATCCAGCCTGAGTTTTCCCTTTACTGAGTTCCAGAAGCACATTTCTTCAAAAGGCTCCATTTAACTGCACAGGGACACTTGAAACAGCTTCCAAATCAAAGACAACCATCCCATAGTAGATAAAAGCAGGGGCCAAAAGCTTTCCTGGCATCCAGTGAAGCTCCTCCTGGGATCAGCTTGTCCCAGGATTCTGTTCTATCAGAACAGTCCTTCAGTCTGTGGCCTGGCTGCAAACCTTGCCAGTGGAGAGTTTCCTCTTCCACTTTTCCCTCTTTCAGGAGGAGGGATGCAAATCTCAAGCAGGATTTGAGATTCATCTTCCCAGCCCTTTTCCCAGCAAACTGATCCCTTCTTTTTGGATCCTGGCACTCTCACCTAGGGCCCTACACAGCTTTTACTGACAGACACGGGGCTGGTAACTTGGGAGAGGCATTTGGAGGGGGAGAGATCCAAATGGATGCTTTAACTTGGGGTTCTGTTCTGACAGCTCTGCTGCAGGTCAGGGTGGGATGGGATGGGATGGGATGGGATGGGATGGGAT